CCCACCCCCACCCCCTGGTGCTTTCTCATCCAAATTACAGAGAAAACAAAGGCCATTATTAGTTAGCAACTCAGTTTCCCACCACCAATCTTACTTGCAACTTCACCCATCCTCTCCACAACAAAAGTGTCCAGCCTCCATCTGTGCTGTGAATTCCATTGCCTTCTGCCTTCCTGGGGACCCCACCCTATCAATTATTCATTTTCTCTCCCACTTTATTATCTTGTTTCTTTAATCTCCTTTCCTCTCCTCTTCTCTCACCTCTTTCAATCTGCCTACTCCTTCCCACAAGCAATCAAACATATTTCAGTCTATCTTTAAAAAACACATTCCTTCAATCCTGTCTCCCCCTCCAGCGTTCTCTCTCCTTTCCTTTACAGTCAACCCTCTATAAAATGTGTCCACACTCATTTTTCCTACTGATCTTTGTTCATTTCTCTTACACACGGCATGGACTGCCCCTCCCACCACTCCACTGAAATTACTCTTGCCAAGATCACCTACAATCAGCTTCCTTGTCATTAATTTTTACTTGAGCTCTGGCAGAATTTTACAAGGCTAACCTTTCTCTTTTACATTTGAAGTCTTCTTCTCCTTAAGCTTCCATGTTAACATGTCTGGGTCTTCTCTTTCTTGTCCATGCAGCCTTTCTCAGTGTCCAGTGGAGGGGCCCCTTCCCTGTTACTTCATTACAGATCAGTGTTCTTCACTGCTCACCTGGGCCCTCTTCTCTTCTTCCTCTACACACTCCCTCAGGGCCATCTCATTGACACCCGCGCCTTCAATTATTATCTAAATGACAAAGGCCCCCAAAAGTATAATGACAGCTCAGATCTTTCTCTTAAGCTTCATACTTACCTGCCCAACTGTCTTGCAGGCCCCAGCTCCTTAAACTCAACATGTCCAAAACTGAACTCCTCACACTAAATCTGTTCCACTTGCTCTTTTCCTTGCCTTAGAAGATGGCATCACTAGTCCCACATTACCCAAACAAAAGCATCATCTTCCCTTCTCTATCCACGAGGGAACCCATTCTTATGGAATCTACCTCCCAAAGGTCTCTGAGGTCTTCTGTCTCTCCGGGTCCACTGCCATTAACCCTACGGCAGGCTGTCATCTCTAGTCTGAATTATTGTAACAGCCGTCTGAAGGGATTTCTCATGGATGCTCTTACCTCTTTCTAGTCCATTCTTCACTCCACCACCAGAGGAGTTTGAAAACAGTTTTGATCATGTCACTTTCCTGCTTCAATAGCTTCCTACTTTTCTTAAGCCTCTTAGTATGGCTTACCACACCCTCCACAGTTAGCCTCTTTTTAGTCCAGCCTGACAATTTACTACTTCCTCTCTTTCAAGTGCCACTTGCTGAAATCGAACTACTTTTAGTTTGTTGGACTTGATTTGTTCTTTCCTAATGCCAGTGTTTGTGTCTATTTTTTCCTCTGTCTAGGATATGTCCCCTCTAACACTTTCTCCCAAAAACTCCTACTCATTGTCAACTCCAAGTTTACACATCATTTCCTCTTGGAAGCCTCCTGGGTAGCGCTGAATCTGAGTTAGATGCCCCTAAATATTGGCTCTTCCATTTATTAGTTGTGGGACTTTAAACAAGTTACCTCATCTTCCCATGCCCAGTTTCCTCATTTATAAAAGGAGATAATAATAAGTGCCAATGTCACAGGGTTGTTGAGAGGGTTAAATGATAATAGCGCCTGGGACATAGTAGTGCAAATTTGAGTTGGTTATTATCATCATAATTAACATTATCCCTAGCTCTCTTAGCAGCCTGTACTTTACAGTAGTTGCCAGGCTGGTTTGCTTTTGTCTGCTTACTTCTCTAGTTCTTCCTACAGACTTTGCCATCTGGAAGAAAGGGATTTGTATACATCTTCATTACTATACCTCCAGTACCTGGCACAGTGCCTAACACATGGTAAACAATCACTAGATATCTGTTGGATGAATGAATGAATAAGTCTTAATCCCTAAAAAAAATACAAATTTTTGCACATAGAAATATAGAACCAATAAATTAGGCCCCCGATCATTTGACATTAGGTAGATAAAAAGTCTTGTCAAGAAAATTAAAAGTGGTTTTCATCCGATGGCTGGCCATTCTGCAATTTTTTTAAGACAAGAAAATGTGAACTTCTCTTTTTTAAAGAGGGGTCTAAGATCCTTAGATTATGTGGCAAAAGCGAGCGTAACGTTATTAACATAGGAATGCAGATGTGTACAGTTGGAATGAAGAATTTTTCGGAGAAACATAATGCTGAGCGATTGAGATAAATCCCTTGAGGAAGAATATGCCAAAAAAAAAGTTGAAATGCATTTGTAGTAATTCTGATCATTTAGAGGCCATTTTTCTAAGAAATAGTTGTAAACTGTTACAAATAGAGAGCTAGATTTCTTCAAGTTTCAGGAAACATTAGCAAGTGTCTTGATGAACAGGAGAATCATTTGTCACTGGGAAGACCATTTGTCACTCAATTGACTGTAAACAGTTGAGAAACAAGAAAATATACATGACTGAAAAATGATTAAGTTGTTAAGGGGCAGACTGACATCACGAAGGGAAAATAATGTTGTTTCTTACTAAATGTGATTCCAAGACAGAGCAAAAAAGGATTTCTCCCACATTGAGAAAAAAAGATTGCATGGAAACAAATTATACAGATAATAAGAAACCCCAAAACTGCTCCAGACTTGCTTGCGTAAGAGTCGAAACCAGTCTCTTCCAATTAACCGATCTTTTGAAAGGTACTTATTTTAATTAATTAATCAAAACCACTGATATTAATCTATTTTATAGCAGTAGCTTTCTGAGCAATACCTACAAGTGTTCTTTCAAGGCAGCAGAAACCAAAGTACTGAGTGAGAGTGAGAGTGTGGGAATAGGAGTGTGTGTGTGTGTGTGTGTGTGTGTGTGTGTGTGTGTGTGTGTGTGTCTGGCTGTGTGGGATAAGTTAGGGGCCAGGATGGAGAATTGGAAAGGAAACGAGGAGAGGAACAAAGAGAGAGGAATAGAGTCCAAGTGACTATAGCTGGGAGACTCAGGAATGAGAAAGGAACCCTCAAGAAATGCTACAGAAGAAAATGAATTACGTACTTCACGAGAGATGATTTTTTTTTAATGGCTAATAAAGAACATAAAGATGAACTTACCTAAATGTCTGTTGATACAATGAAAACAAACAAGTGCTTGCTTATGCCAAACTAACTTCTGGAATATATACCTTTTCTGAAGAGACAAACTTATTTCCTGAAAACAAGCAATCAATCAACAATTGTTTCATTAGCAGCAGTCTGCCTACCTTATTATTATAGATCAGTGACTCTCAACCCCACTGCGTGCTACATATCAGAATCATCCAAGGAAGTGTTTTTTGGTTTGTTTGTTTGGTTGGTTGGTTGGTTTTAAATGCCCAGGCCTGGAAACCTCCAGAGACTCCCATCTTACTGGCCTGAGACCCTTGTAAAGCTCCCCAGGGATTCTGATGTGTAACCAAGACTGAGAGCCACCACATTAAATCATTCCTCACGCCCATCTCAGATGTAAACTTGCACTGTTCCACGTGCGCCTCCAAGATCCTAGAAGCAAGGTGGGAATACCTGAAGCAGAATCTTGTTGCCGTCGTAGTCCTGCGTTTGCCACCGGGTGCGGCTGATGGGGACGCACGGGTGGGGCAGGAGAGGCACCAACTGGCCGATCTCTTGAACCTTGAACTGCAGCACCGAAGACTCTTTCGGGTCCACGGACGTCCCGAGGGGCAGCTGCTTCAGGGAAAGCTGAAGGGCGAAGCTCTCGGTGGCATAGAGCACGAAGAAACAGAAGTCACTTTTCTGCAGGGTGGCTTCTCTCTGCAGGATCATCTCGTAGAGGCGGATGGCGTCCTCGTAGTTATCGAAGCTGCAGTAGAGCGTCACTCTGAGCATCTCGGAGCCACAGTGCACCTGCCTCACACCCCAGACGGGCATCTGGTTGTCCAGACTGTAGAACTCCTGGTTGGCAAGGATGTAGGGGCACGGGCTTCCCTGAGCACTCGGGGCGGGGCAGCACTGCCATGGCCAATGCTGTAGGGAGTCCAGAACGCGGAACAGCCGCTGCTCTCCCAGGCTTTCGTGCAGGAAGAGCAGCACAGACATCCCCGGGAACCGGGACCTCTTCGGGTGGCACTTGTCGTAGTATTTCACTGGACTAACCCGCTCTGATACCAGAAAGAGTCGCACACCCGGGCAAATGCAGTCCAGGAGCTGGTCAAGAGTTTGCTGCAGGAGCGAGCCATGCCCAGAGTTGGCCAGGAGGTGGACAGTCATGGCCAGAGGCTCTTGCAGCTCGTCCATTCTGGAGCTGCGCAAGGCTGACAAAGCGGGGAGGCCCCTGTGCAAGCTTCTGCAATGAATGAAGTCGCAGGGAGTTCTCACGCCCAGCCTGCAGCCCACCAAGAAGCCTCCAGCCACTTCAGAGCAAACCAAACTCCTGCTCCTGGTCGCTTTGCTGGTGGTCCCACCAGTTCAGGCACAGCAGCCTCTGCGACACACAGGAGCGGTGGGGTTGATGTCATCCGGCTGGTGCTAATGTGACTGAGTGTGTTTGGCTTTTCCAGGCGCTCCCCAGGGTTTCTGTTTGACCTAAAAACCTGTAATGCTGAGCAACACAGCCGAGGGGGAGGTTCTTACAGACATTTAGTAAAGGAAATGACCCGGCAGAAAGGAACTTGAGCGGGCTCTGCTAGGCTGATAGCAATCTGTTTAGTTGAAAAGATATCCATTTTATGGACCCACAATGGGTTCTGATTTCCTCCTCACGGTGTTTACAGCAGCTTGTCAGGCCACCTGAACACAATGACGGCTTTAAAACAATTCTCAAAGCTTGTCCCCTTGCCAGGATTTTTTTCCCCCTTTGTCTTTTTATTTTGGTTTTGAACAATTGATGTGAGGGCATTGAAGAGAAGATTCTTTATCTGCATAATTTTGACTGTTCACTGAAAGTTATTCCCCTACTGCAAAGTCTGTGTGTATGTACTAAAAAGATGTTGAGAAATGTAGTCCCTCTTTATTCATGCCAATTCCTTAGAAAGAGTGAGAGCTTTCCAATGTCAATAATAATCATTGTTCCTAGCTATTGAGTGTCTACGAGGCACCAGTCAGACACTGTCCTAAAGCTTTACATAAATTGATTTAATCTTCCAGCAAACCTATGAAGAAGACACTATTGTCCCTAAATTATTGATGAAGAAACTGAGCCACAGAAAAGTTAAGTAACTTGCCTAAAAATTGTCTGAGGGAAGATTTGAACTCAGGAAATGAGCGGTCCCCTGGTGCATCTCTGGGATGCAGAAATCCCGGCCTGGATTTTTCTTCCTAAGGATAAGGAGAGGCTGCGTATGTCCCAGAGACTCTGTGTGCTGTTGAATCTTAAAATGAATAATCTTCAATAGGAATATCCAAGCTCTAACCTAAACACCTGCCCTAATGTGTACTAAATATGCATTTGAAAATCATTTGCTATTCTGATAGCTGTGCTCCTGATGTGTATGGACAAGCACATTCTAAACGTAATTCTTAACATAGCCCTTTGTTAACGCTTATCATGGAGCACAGTGCGGCTTAAATTTTTATAAATTAAACAGCACTTTTGTGATGAAAAATATAACATATCCTTTTATTTTATTTCTGTAGATTCCTTTAATAGCGTAATAATCAAACTTAACATCAAATATTATTATCTATGGAAAGAAATAATTTCTCCTCAGATTTTCTTTCTAAATCTATTTACACTTCTAATCATTTGAGTTTCGTAAGTCTTATACATTTTGCATTAGAAAAATGTATACATACATTTTTACATACATACAGTTGGTAACAGATGAATTGTTTTTTAGTTACCATCAGCAACTCAGTAATTAAATTCATTTTGCTTCAACTTTCCAAAACTCATTAGTTTTTTTTAAGGCATTATAGTTTTCTAGCTTTTTTTTGTTTAATCTAAATTCATGTTACACATTGGCTTTTGAAGGTAATGACAAGCCCTCAGTGTGACGCCCTCTTTTTCCCCTGTTCATCCACTCACCGAGCTGACTGTACTCGGGAACTTCCTACTTTTGACATGGCTTTTGAAAGAGTACAATTCTGAAAATAACTCTGAAGATTCTAGGAGAAAAATTATGCCCCTGATACAAAGATATTATTAACTCACAACATTTTGTACAAGGTAAGAGCTTAAACCCTTATATAGGAAAAGATTTTGCTTTTTCATGTTCTTTTAATCTTCCATCCAGTGAGAAAACATATGTTTTTCCTCATGAGGTTGTCATTTCTGTCAGGAATAAAAGATTTCATTAATCTGATGGTAGGCAAAGTGCAAAAAAACAGAGGGCACAGGGGAGGGGGGATACCATCAGTCTCCTTCTGACAGGCAGACTCTGCAATTATTTCTCCAAGGACAACCTGAAATATTGACCCTCAGAGTAACTGCCTCCACTCCTCACCCCCTCCATCCACCGCAGCCAGACACTGCTCTGGGCCTCAGAGTCCAGGGTGTTTTTTATTTTTGTAAAGTGGTTTCTGTTGAAGGCATAGACATGAATGCGAGAGGAAGTCATCAGCTTTGACTCCCGATACCTCGACAGCTGACACTTGATTCTCTATCTTATTTTACTTAAACTTGGCAGTGATGGTCAGGTATCTGTCAGTTGTCAGCTCCTGGATGGCAGCTGGTTGGTCAACTCCTCACAGCCATGTGGAGGGGCTGGTGACAGGTGGTACAAGGAAATCCAAGAAGTCAGCTAGTTGTGAAGGTATGTTGGAGACCATGGACGTCCACAGGGATTTATCCCTACTGCAAGTCTCAGAAATATTCTGGGTTACATTAAAACCCTGAGGTCCCACCACCACCCCAAGACAACTTTGGGAAAGAGTGTCTTTCTCTCTTTATAAAATGTGTTCATTTGTCCCACACGTGGAGAGCCAGGCACTGTGTTAGGGGCTGAGACTAGACAATCGCCATGTCCCCTTTGGAAGAGCACCTGAAATGATGTCATCAGAGTTATGATAAAGATCACTGCAGGATGCCGGGAAAGCCCCTAGGAGGAGCCACTGACCTAGATGAGGCCAAGGAAGCCTCCAGGGAGAGGAGATGCTACTTGAAGTCCTGAAATGTGAGCGGAAGGGGGCAGCCAGGTGAGGAACTTAGGCTGGTACAGAGAGAGGGACTCCAGGGCAAGGAAGCTGAGGGGGACAAGCCATGCATGGAGAAGAGAGGAGGGCCCATGACCCACTGGTAGACCTGCCAGCAGCTCAAGATGGCTGGAGGGTGGGCACAAGGAAGGGGGAAGATGGTAAGAGGCTAGATGGGCAGCCAGGCCTCGCAGGTCACCCTGAGGAGTTGGGATTTTCTTCTAAGGGGAACAGAAACACAGAAGAGTTGGCTCAAAAAAGGAAGTAATGCTCTGAGGAAAATGAACAGGAGTGATATAGGGACAGTCACTGGAAAGGCTTCTCAGCTGGGTGGGTGTGGGCAGAAAGCTGCAGCGATGGGTCCAGGAGACCTCCCAAAGTCGCACTTACAGGCGCCTCGGTGAGGCTGTCGGTCACCAAATAGAAACTACTGGAAAAAGAGGGCAGTTGGGATTGAGGAGGAGGGGTGTCGTTTGGACATGGTGAGTGTAAATCCCTGTGCGACGTCAGGCTGGAGATGTCCAGTTGCTACTTACCACAGAGCTTAGAGGAGAGCAGCAGACCAGAGAACACAGGCTGGGGAAGCACCGGGCTTCAGGTCACCACAGAAATGCGTGTGCTGACTCAGGTGGAGAACACATAATGAGGAAAGGTAACAGGACGGGCTGTGGAGTGTCCAGTTTAAGGGACCAGCGACGTGTGAATGGCGTCCAAGAAGAGGGAGAGTGAGTGAGTCATCCCAGTCTTGTGTGTGGGTGTGTGTGTTAGGTTACAGGGATGTCAGGAAACAGCCTTGGCCGGGCCAACATCTTCACTCAGCGTTTCAGAACGTCTGTGACTCTACCTTCTCAGTTAAGCAAACTCAAAAGAAGCACCAAGTGAACCTCAGAGCCATTGAAGCCTCTGTTTTCGTTGTTCTCTAAACAATCTTAACTGTGATTCTTTGTCCGATTCCCAGCTGCTCGCTGAGGGCTGGGCATTGTGGAACTTGGGGCAATACCCGAGCGAAGGTCCTGGCAAAGGATCATTCTATACTTATTTTCCAACCCCGGACAGCGCCTGCAACCCTGTACCTGCCAAGCAGGCGCCAGATAGATCTGTAGTGAAGAAGGAATCTTGGCGTCTCCTACAGGATAAGAATCCCAGGTTTAGGGACTTGCCTAATGTCACATAGCTGGTTGGTGGAAGAGCGTGGGTTTCTAGCTTTAAACCACACTTTCCCACCACTCTTAAAGAGAATGCACAGCCCCTCTGTTTATTCAGGTTAAGAGCCATTCAAGTGCATTATGTGCACACAGCTAGCACATAGAAAGAAAAAAGGAGGTTAAGAGAAGTGGACGTTATTCACGTTGTCTGTGCCCCATGCCCTAGACACCTCTGGTTAATGTGTGTTTCCCCACCCTAGGCATTTCTGCCTCAGTGCTACCCTGTCCTCAGCTTTCACCATCCCTGCCCTTCTCCTAACACACACACACACACACACACACACACACACACACACACACGTCTAAAGCCTGGAGTCATAGCTCCTGGCTTCTCAGGGGAGTCCTGGCAGAACCAGCGGCAGGCAAACAATGGAGGCCTAAGCAGGCCTACCTTCTCTGGGCTCTGCCTAGGGCAGAGGTGGGAGGAAATGGCCAAGCAAGCTCCTCCTCCAAGCAGCTGCGTCTCTTCTCTGAGAGCTTGTCTCCTAGTCCCTCAGAGGATACACCCTGCCCAACCTGAAACAATGCTATCAGGTTCCTATTAAATCGCCATCTGTTTCCCCCCTTTTCTGGGACAATGCAGCCCAGTAGCAGCCTGTGAGCTGATACCCTGTGTTTTCACAGGTACAACAAAAAAGGCGTGTTTCCGCCTGTCCTTTGTTGTTGTCTTCTGCTGTGACATCGTTTCCCAGGCTCCGACCAATTATAGTTCTCCTCTGAACCAACTCGTCACCGGGAAAGAAGGCAGAGAAATAGTGGAGCAAGCTGTGAGTTGTGAGCCAGAGAGCTGGGCTCCCCTAAACTCTGCTGCTCGCCCTGTGAGGACCTGAGATTCCTAATCCCTCGGGGTTGGTTTCATCATCCCCCCTGAAGATAAAAAGTAACAGTGGTAATAATTGACCTGACTCTCCCCATGGATCAAATGAGCTCACACACCCCAGAGGACCTTCCAAGCTCTCAAGTGCTCCACTAGCGTAACCATCTCAACATGAAAGATTTTACATGTAATATCATTTTAATCCCCCCCAAACAATATCCAGCAAATGCAGTAAGAAATGGATAAATAAACGAGTGTTCATGATTTTAACGGAATGCTGTGCAGCTGTAAAAACAATGAAAGAACATTAGAGGAATAGATTGACACGCTCCAGTAAAGTTAGATACACGTGCCCTACACTTCAGCATTTCCCTCCCCAGATATAATCTCTGGAGAAATT